TCCTCCTCCTCCTCCTCCTCCTCCTCCTCCTCCTCCTCCTCCTCCTCATCTACCCCTTCATCATCCTTCTTATCTTCTTCAACCTCCTTCTTGTTAATTTCTTTGTCCTCTTTCACCTGTACTTCTACATCCATCTCTTCCTTGACTTCTTCTTTGTCCTCCTCATTTTTGCCAACATCTTCCTCCTCCTCATCATCTACTTCTTCGTCCTCCTCCTCCTCATCTGCTTCTACATCCTCCTCATTGTCCACTCCTTCATCCTCCTCCTCTTCTGTGTCACTCATCACCTCGTCCAGTTCGTCCTCCTCTGGTTTGATCCATCCTCTAGGAGTCTTCCAGGCCTCCGTCCACTCTGTGCTATCTGTGATCTCATCATCCAGCTGTGATGTGAGGAGGAGGTTTGTGTCTTTACGTCTCTTAGTCAGCATGGCGCTGTGTTGATGATGAGACTGCAGCGAAGCCTGGCACCACCTGTGGATATAATCGTAGTTTGAGTTTTAATTTGAACAAATCAGTTTGATGGATGGAACAACAATTGAGTACTAGTAGAGTCTAGTATTGAGTACAGTCTAAAAACTGCAGGAGCGAGAAAGAACTTTTGGATTCTATATATATATACAGTCTTATACTGTATATACGAGTTCATTTTAGTACAATCTTGTACTGTATTTGAATATTTCTATTTCATGCTAATTATTTTTGTTACTGCAAGTGCAAACATTGCACTTTTTCTCGACCACATTTATTTAACAGCAAAACTTTGCAAATGATAGGCTCTGCAAACACACGAGTGATTTCAACTGAATACACCTCCAATCACGTGTGGGTTGGGTGGAGCGATGCTGGGAATTATGTGATTTCACAAAACCCTATGCACTAATCAACAACATAATAATATAAGAGACATAGTTCCCTCTGTACAACGCAAACTTTTATGTTGATAACACAATGCATCTTGACTAAAGTAATATTAGGAATGCATGATTTAAACTTGTATATGTATTTGTTATGCTTAAATAAAAGAATACCTTTTTTCTCAAACTCAAACACTAGAGGGGTGACAAGCTGCAACAATAACATCATGGCACCTCACCCGCTATTCCAACAAGTTCTCACTCGTTAAATACTGCAGCTTGGTCAGTGTCCCTATGCTTCAAACTAGGATGCTCTAGGACTAGGTACACCTCTGGCGTCAGTTTGGACTCAGGGAATGCGTCTCAACAGTATTTTCAAAATAAAAGTCTGTGTTCACGTTAAATGCCTCTCTTTTGATGGTTTACTTCATTTTTAGGTTTCATTACTCAACAAAACTACTTGGTTAGCTTTAGGAAAAGATTGTGGTTTGGGTTGAAATACGTTTATATAACTACCCTTGTTATGTAACTGACTTTAGTAATGTGAAGTTATGTAACACAACTACGGTAAAAAAAACGAAATGTTGTCTTGGTTTCACACAGGACACCAACAGTGGTTTCCTGGTTGAAAGTTCTTTGTTTGTTTGATCGGTCCATCCTATGCTGACTTTCTTGCTCTTTATACTACGCCAGTTGCTCTGACTGTCTTGTAATGATGAAGCATGGGTTTACATTGGAGTTAGTTAAAAGCCCAGTCTTCTCTCAGATGCTAAAGGATGCCTCGGTGCACCAGTATCATAAGGCGAAGGTCACTGACCAAGCATCGGTACTTGACGTACTGGCTGTAGTCTCAAGTTGAGGAAAGTTTAACTTTAAATGTCCACTGCGACAACCTGAAGACAACCAAACACACTTGTTTAGATTGTGTCTTGTTTGTCTTGTTAGCAGCTGAGCTGTTAGCTCCAACTCAACTATGTAAAAGTACTTCAAACAAATGTGGGAAAGTTCAATGGTTGCAGTGAATGGCTTCACTATTCAATACGATTTAACTTCTACGAGCTACCGGGACCTGAAAACAATGTGTGGAAATGACCGGCTTTGATGTGCACCAGTATAGTGGCCTGCTAGTGTGAGTCAGTAGGTGTGAAGAACACGTAACCTTCCACGGTGCATTTCAGGAATTCACTCCAACAACATCTATTGGTTAAAGTGGAGGATTATCGTTAAGGTCATTGGGACAACCAGCGCCGACCCACCTGGTCTGCTGCATGAATCCCCAGCAGGAGCTCCAGTTCTTGTGCCATTCTTCTTCTTCCTCCAGAGGAGCAGCAGAGCGCAGCCAGGAGTCACTCCATCCGGGCATGAAAACATTGTTTATCCTCATCATTTCTGTGGTTTCAGAGCTTGCAGTTGGCGTCTTGTCGTTTGCGATGTCTTTTGGTTCAAACTCAGTACTGGACATTTCCCATGAATCCTCACAGTCTGAGGGCTCCTCCTAGTTGAAGATCACAACACACATTTGTAAAAACTAAATGGGAGTCCTGGTTGCTCAGTGATAATGAAGCATCTAACCTGACATATAAATCTGTGTTTTTTTCTTATAATGGCCAACACATTTGAAAAGGAAAAAAATAACAAGAAAACAACTGATTTCGATCCCCACCTGCTCCTCTAGTTGTTGTACTTTGTCAAACTTGTTGCTGAGGTTTTGTTGGTAATCAGGCCAGATACGATCCCAGTCCTTCTTTTGCTGTCTGAAGGCAAAGTTAATGAATTTCCAAGTACCGGCCCAGACAGGAAGAGAAAAGACGTCTATCTCAGTTTTGCAACGCCGTTTTCTTTCAAACAAAATCTCCCACTGGAATTGTTTCTCCTCAGAGCGCTCCAATTGGGCAGGACTCTTCACCTGGACAATGGAACAATGAAGACAAAAGATGGTTGACAAAGTGTTACTTGGTCATTTTGCACCTATTGACCAGTTGTCTCTATTCTTGTGATCTGGGGAGGTCATGGATGAATCAGCGTGACACAGATGTGAAATGATTGATTGATAGATGTATGGGAAAACGCACCTGCTCAGCTGCCACAGGTTCTCTTTTCACAATTCTCACATGGAAAAAAAACATAGAATGCATTGTGAAGTATCGCATTCGAAAAGTTTTATGAAACTTCCCCAATTTGGCACAAAAGTTTTTACGCTTGATTGAGGTTGTTTGAAGAAGAGTTGGGAAATGGGATATTGAAACGTCTTTGTTGTGACATCGCAAACATTTAACTCACATGACGGATTTGCTGTTTTTGATGCCTGCGTGTTCACTGATATATATATTCATATTGTCTATATCTCCGGACGGCATAAAGCATGGCCAATATTAGCTAACATGAAAGAATAACTACAACTTACCCAATTAAACAAATGCCTGAACACCTCTCTCCACTTTTCTCTTGTTGATCGACCAAGGTTACTTATTTTGTTTCTGGTTTGCAACATCTACTTCTTCTTCTACTCTGTTTAATGGCGGATTTCAGCGATGAGTAAATAATAGCCTATACAGCCAACTTCTGACAAAACCACGCAGACTAGTTTCTACACACCAACATTCTGTCAGCTTGGCTCGACTCTACTCCTGATACACTTTTTCGTCCGCAGAGAGTACCCCCTCAAGGTAGGCGGTATTCTGAACTAATTGTCATCGTGACATCCCATGAAACTGCTGGGACATCATCTTCAACGCGACACAGTGCGTTCTCTTGTTTTCTCTTGCTGGATTATTTCGTTGGTGACCAAGCAGAGAAGCGTCTGTAATTCGTCAACTAACCACGGCTTGGCTATTTTTTTAAATCTAAGTTGAGTGAAAAAAAATGTGCGGCAACTAACTTTTTAAAAACATTGGGTTCGTGGAAGATGTCCCGTGTCATGCAAGTGATAACTCTAGTGATGATTCGCACCAATAGCACAGTTAGCTTCGAAACTTGATTGAGGTGATACCTATGAAAAAACAGATACCAGGTACTATCCACAACATTTACCAATGGAAAATAAAAAAGAACGGTTCCAAGCGATTCAAGTCAAGCAGTTGAAATGCGACATTAGTTTTCCCTTAACTCTTGTGGCCTAAAGGTTGAGCAACACCAAATACTCATAACTGAGTCAATACTTAGAAAAATAACACTCAAACTTCCCAGCACCAGCCATGACTCACACACTTTGCCCATAATATGACCAAAATCTGACCAATGGTATTAGTTTTAGTGTCTCTTAATACAAAGTCATCAGTTTGTGTCAGTCCTGGTACCTGTTTCCAGGAGTCACTCCATTCATCAGCAGGATATGCCCATTCGGCCTTCGATCCGTACTCCTTTGGTTTGTACTCCTTGTTGTTTGTCAGCTCTATGGTTGTGAACCCTGGGATTCTGGTTTTTGTCTCTTTGGCCTTCAGGTAAAGATATTTGGGAGGCTTCATGCTCATCCAGGAGTCTTTCCAGCACAGACTAAAAACATCCACTTCAACTTTACGTTTTGCCCTGCGAAATTTGGGTGAAGCTGCTTTCTTGGGAGGAGGCGGAGGAGGAGCAGGCTTGTATTTGGGTTTGGGAGGAGGGGGGACGACTTTGAATTTGATTTTCGGCTTGTTGTTTTCCGCTTCATCTGCGCCGCTGGTGAGCTTCTTAAAGTCTCCATTGGAAACGAGTGACCAGTGATAATTCCACTTTGAGAAAGATCTGCACTTTCAAAAAACAAACAAAGAAACATATGAAATCAACGCATCACTGCTCTATCATCACTGCTCTATATATACATGTATATATACAGAGCAGTGATTGACCGAACAAGTGTCTCGAATCTATGCAGTGAATGCAATGCTTCTGTAGTGGCACCACATTTGTCTATGTGTATATTTATTGAAGTATGGGCCACATCAAAGAGCATTTCCATTGAATTATGATGGACAACATGTTTCTGGATCTGAAAACTGAATAGTTTGTGGCTAGTCTGTGGTGCTAGAAGATGAACATGCTTTTTCCACCTGAAATCATCCATTTAGGCTGTGCTTCCCCTCAATTAGCTCCATTATTCAGTCGGTAGTGTCTACTTCAAACTGCACAATTTTAGGCCTGATTTCCCATCCGCAAACAGTTTTTGGAGCTCCCAGAATAAAGCCCCAGATCAGAGGCAAATTAGCGTCTGCTCGGCGCTCGTAAATCTGCGCTTAAACGCCATTTCTCAACTATTCAAAGACGCAAGCCGAGACACTCGCAGATGCATTGCAGATATCTTGTAAATATATTGACCTGTCGGGGAGCTTCAGCCAATGAGAGTTGAAAACTGCGGTAAGGGTTGCCTGTATCAATAGGAACAATGACTGTGTATGTTGTATTTGCAACACGGACCAAAGTTTGGTCTTTCACATAGAAGAAACAGGGTTTTCTGTGAACGCCTGTGCCAGTGACAACATCAAACAAATATCACAACAAGGGAAGTTCCACAGATTGCTTGAACAAACGAGCATGATTGGTGTATGGTATAACATCATTGACTCCCTGTCCCCAGTCAGTCATAGCGTGAAAACCACAATAACTTCAAGACTCCCAATTACAAGACAGGTTTCAACAGTACAGCGATCTGACGACTTTGAAAGTCTTGTAGTGTGAACTCACCAGTTGCAGGTGACTCAGTATGTACAGCAAAAACCTGAGAATCTTACAGTCAGTTCAAGAGCAGTTTCTAATGTGATTGTGTCCACAGTTTAGCAATATTTTCAAGCTCTTTACTATATGGTGAGATTAATTTAGTATGATGCTAAACTTCATCAGTATTGTGATACAAAAACAAGTAAAAACATCACATATCCTCACTCTTTGAAGGAACTTTTCTTCTTCCATTCGGCCTCCTGTTTGCACTGGTCTGCCATGCTCTGAGCTTTCTGCTCCCATTGGTCTCTCAGCGGCCCGTTGCTGAAGGAATTCTTCGCCTCCTTTTTTGACAACATCTTGTTGCCTATAAGACACACACAAGCAACAAACATCAGAAACAACAACGAACGTGTCACTCGTGGTGTTATGTTGCATTTCTACAGTGTCACTTTTTCATACATACCTACAACAATAACAACGATAGATGAATGAATTAATCCAGATTGGGTCCAGTTCTCAGTGCAGTCGGTGTCTTGTTGAAGACCGACTGGTCAAACTGTGACACAACACAACAGGCGTCACTCTATAATTAAACACAGGTCAGCAATGTACTTCAAACAGCAACAACACCAAGAAAACACCACAGCGCCGAGTCTGCAACGATGGCAAAGAGTCGTGTTGGCCCCCCAGCATCAGAAACAGACCCTGTAAGTTAACCGTGATGGACAAGTGCTCAGGGCAGCTCTACCTCTTTGTCCTCTCATGTTGGTCTGAGGTCAGAGTGAACGTTCTAATGACTCACTATTGCCTCTCGAGGTACAAGTGGTATGACAAGAAAGGACGGATCGGGGCTATCTGGTTAGCATGCTCATTTCAGATATCTCTGCAACACAAGATGTCTTTGACATAATGCCAACACTGTAACCAATTCACATTCTCTTCATGTTAGTATTTCTTTTATGTTTCAAACTTAAATTCTGCATTGCACCACTACATTATTATTTAACTTTCAAATTTCTGTCAGCTCAATTGACTTGTGATGAGACATCTACATTTAATAAACCATTTTCTATGTAATTTCCATTTAATTTCATTTTCATGATTTTGTCAATATTGTGTCAGAAAAAGACAAACATGGCTGTTTTAAAAATCTATTTGGTCGTTTGTTGTTTGACTTAAATCTCTTGATGTAAGGATGTCTTTGAACACACCAACAATACACTTCCTGCTCTCAATTGTTTTACCATGCAAAGATAAGACAGAAAATCCACCACAGTCAATATTCCTTTAAGTTTCAAGTCTCTGTCAGGTTTTATTCTTTATGAAATTGAATTAAAACCAAAAGAAATAAATGTAAAAAGTGATGGTGTTACAGAGAACTCTGTGTAAAACAGAGGTAAAGTCTTAAATCCCTGCCTGTCTGGAAGATGGACTCTGGGACTTAGCAGTGTCTGTGTTGATAATGAGGCTGAGTCATCCAAATAACTGTGACTCAAATTTAGGAAATGAGCTCAGGCCTCAGGCCCCTGCATGTGATCATGTTGAAGAAGACCCCCGAAGTGCTGAGACTCAAATAACGGTGACCTCAACATCTGAAGTGCTTCTTACAACTATGGATACAAGTGCAGCCCTGCTCCTGGGATACACAATCGTTTACACACAATCAGAATTGTTGGAAGGTGGATTTTCTTTTATCTTTTTAGGCGCTAGTTAGCTTCCCCTAAACTGTGTTAAGCTAGGCCAAACATGCCCTGGACCTCTATCTGTACTGGACTCACAGAGATCAAACTAATATCCATCTTCTTATCTGACTCTGGAAAAGTCAACCAAAAAGCTAATATTCTGAACTATTGGAACGTTCCATTCATAAAAGCAGTGGTGTTAATGTCCACATTTCTGTGTTTAGCTTAGCTTAGCAGAAAGACTCGTAGCATAGTGGCTCGGGAGTTGACTTAGTTTCATTTCATAAAAATGTTTGACAGAGTTAGGATTTCAGCATAAAATACTTTTCAAATGACAGAACTAAAGATGTCTTTTTAATCCCAAACATTCTTCTTCTTTGTCAAAACGTGGCATCTACATTACCCACAATGCAACTCAACTAACGACGGTTGGGTTGGAGATTCAGATGTGTTTTGTTAGCGGCAGCCAATGTAGCCTCGAGCTGCTGGCCTGTAGGAAGCAAAGATGTGGAGCAGACTACAGAGTTCTGGTAAACTCACTTCTTTCTAACTTCACACCTCCAGATTGTTTGCCTTTTCAAATGGGCAGTCTTCTTGTCGCTCACATGGCCCTCAGCTTGCAAATTATAGAGCAGTTCCTCAACAGAATTTAGCCTAGCCTTAGCTTAGCACAAAGATTGCGAACAAACCTTCAAAAACGAAAACACTACTGGAAACACTACAATAATTAGAACTCCTCCCAACACAACCAGCACTGTTGACATTTTTTTTTAAATTATATATAATTATTCATTTTTTTTCAATATATATATATATATATATACTGTATATATATATATATATACTTGACTACTTGACTTACTTGACTTATAAATATATTGAATACTTGACTTATAAATATATATATATATATATACTGTATATATATATATATATATATATATATATATATATATATATATAAATATATATATATATATATGTATAAGTCAAGTTATAAGTTCAATAAATTCAGAGAAATCATAAACCCGATCCTGACTTACCTGATGTCTTTCTGTCTGTCTTTCTCTCAAGGTCTGTCTGTCTGTTTACATCCGCTGCTGTAACCAGTAACTGTTAACATTAAGGTGAACTGCCTGTCTATCTCTCTGCCTGTCTGTCTGTCTGTCTGTCTATATGTCCTCAGTCTGTTTCTGCAGTTCACTTTAATCAGTTTACACTCAGTCTGCCCTGTATATCTGCTGTGTGGTGAGCACACTTCCCTCCCTGCTATTTTTACATCATACGTTAAAAGATCCAGAGCTGCAGCGCTAATTTTAGTGTCAGGGTGAGGCAACGACAAACATGAGCAGCCTGGAAATGTAGAGGAGCCACTTGAATTGGATGAAAACACGAGTGAAATCAATCTTTATTAAACAGGTGCCACAACATCAACAAACATGTTAGCTTTAAGTGTGAGCCCATCAGAGACCAGTGCAGTGTGCTAACCAGAGGCATTCTGCATGCTGAAACACAGCAGTGACATATGACAAGGGTCCAAGTAGAAGCTCCGCCTCCGGACGACCCGCCCCCTGGCAACCAGCCAATCAGTATGAAGATTGTTAGCAGTTCTTGGCATAGTGTTGTGGGCATCCAGGGCTCCTACAGTAACAGCTGTTCTCATAAACACCTTTAGGTGACTGACAGTTGGAGCATTTCAAGGTTTGGATTGACATGAAACTCACCAAAGGGTCAGAGATAAATCTTTGGACATAAAAGCTGAAGGAGAAAACTACAACTCCCATGGAGTTGTTCTATTCCTTGGCGTTTTCCAGGCAACCCAAATTCCCCAAGATGTTTGATGCACTCATAATATATCTCTATTTTCAGACGTCGTGATTATGCGTGTTGAGAACCAATATGACGCCGTTGGCACACAAATTAGTACGTACTTCCGTCAGTAGTAGAAGACATCAGTTGAGGATGTGGTCCTGCAATGTGGCATGGGACACATTCGCGTAACCACTGCTAAAAGATCGTGGCCACATGCGGCCCAGACCACCTCCGAATGTGATCTGTGTGATCTGTGCATTCACACCTGTCCAGAGCTGTCCATTTGTGATCAAATCACCCAAAAAGTATTGTTGTGAATTCCTTCCTGCGGTCTAAATGTCAGTCTCTGGTGGGCAAAATGAATACTACCTCTGAATCCACTGAGCTCGAATTATTCACCTGATGATGTGACAATTGCAATAAAAGGCACATTGAGTGATCAGCCAACTAAGAATCTCTAAACCTCTAAAAATGTAAAACCTTTATTGCGCATGTTAATGCCAGGTCTGAACAAGGTTCTTTATTAAACAAGCATCACAGCAACATCAGAACTCGGCCTCATCGCAGCTAGTTTCACACAGGCCCCATTTACACCAGGCACTGAAATGCGTCTTGATCCAGATTGTAGATATGATTTATATCTATCCGATTGCAATCCGATCACCCAAAACTCCTTTCAATGCAAGGTGTAAAGGGGGTAACATGGTGGCCATGTCATCCTTTACCAATTTTGAAAGTTCAAAATCTCCCAGGGGTGGTGATTTGGAGAAGCCTATAGAGAAACCTTTTTGATTTACACACTACTACACTGTGTCACCCCATAGTTTAAATCCTTCTTATAAGTGCAAATATAATATAATTATATATATATATATATATTTAATATGTGTCATCTGTTCTTACAACCCTTTTTAGGACAATATTCCTTTTTCCCAGCAGACATTTTGACAGAAAAGCACAGGTGTTACTGATAAAATGAACAACGGCTCTGTTCTATTCAAGTAACCCAGCAAGTCATCACAGGGAGTGAGCATGCACAAAGGCAGGGCCATGGAACTGCTCATGAAAATGGAATGCAGTTGTTATAAATGTTACTGTGTAATGTAGTACTGTACATCCTTCTCACTTTCCAGTGTACCTCCAACTAAATTGATCTTGATAATCATGATAAAATGGTCACCTGACTGCTTGTGTTTCTTGCTCATCTGATTTCTTTTCAGTGAGATTAGTGTCTGTATGAGACACAGGGGGCTTTCAACTAACCCATCTGAGTATAAGTAACTGAGTATAAAGAGTGAGAAAGGTCACTTAGGGAGGATGAATGGGTCAAACATACTTATTTTACCATAGTTTTCTTACATAAGCTATGTACTTAACGTATGTAACAAGCGTAACAAACTTTACGCAAGAAATTTACTTTTTTTAACCTTCCTCCTGTGTTAGCTTTCTGTTACTATCTCTTATGTTAACGGGTCAGTTTTGACCCGTGTCTTAAATCAGCTGTAAAATACACTAAAAACAATTATCTATCATCCAATTTGTTTCTCATCTCTTGGTTACCTTGTTAGGCTTTCTTATCCATGAACATATTGGTTTTAATATTTTTGGTGTGGGCCTCTGGGCCTTTTCTTTGTCAGTATACCGCTCGATTTCAATTTAAAAAATGTTAAAATGAACCTCAAAAGAATCATATAAATAAATAAAAGGTTGTTGTGTTACCTGACTATTACTGAGGGGTATTAGAACACATATCTTAAATAAATTTGTTTTATTTATTTTTTCATTTTAATATTATTAACTATAGTAACACCTATGGTGTTAGGGTCAATTTCGACCCATATATATTTACTTCAAGAAAAAGGCTAAAAAGTATTTTTTTCAGCTGCACCCATCTGTCCCAGACATCCCTGATGGGGGCAAGCTTGTCAGATATTGCTCTGGTATCTCTGTTGTCAAATCTGAGTACTCTTGATATCATTTGAAATGTCTGAAGTGACATTGTTGCCCGGAAAATATTTCTGCCTGTCGATGCGTCCCGAGACTATCAGTGGCCTCATTGCAGGATCTGTAACTCCAGCAATAAGAAGAACACCAATATAAGCATCCAGGTATTCCTCATCCATGTCTTTCCACATGTCGCCATGGACTTTTTTTCCTTCAAGGTTTGTCATAGCAATGATGACTCTTTTTAGTGACAATGGCATAAATAGCTCAAAACATGTCTTGATGTCACTAACTCGTCACAGCAAACCTTGTGATTCCAGGGGTCATTTTGATGACATTTGCAGCAGCTGCCCTGCCATGTACATCATGAGGTACTGAGCTCCAACACATCTTACCATTTTTGGACTTGAATCTTTCAGCGGGAGCAGCTTCACCACCGGTGACCTCATCAGACTCATCAGATGTGTCTGTGTCTTCTGGATGCTACTCCACATTGTCTTCCTCCTCAGAAACCTGCTCATCCGTCTCGCTATGCTGCTCTATGTCCTCTCCCTCATTTTCACCAAAAATATGATCCAGAACTTGTCTCACTGAAAATCTTTTCATTTTTGCATGCTGCAAATTGGAGATGTGCACTCTGCAAGTCACCAACTCTATACTGAATTGACCTCACATGTCTGGACATCCGTCTTTGTTTGTTTTGTTTTTGTGCAGGTATACTGGATAACAAGGCAAAATGAGAATCCCCTAAAGCTTACATGATTGGGAGAGGAGCTGGCTGTCAGTGTATTGGCTCACGGTGCACTTATGATTTCAGTTTTGGCTCTAATTATTGCTTTATAATCTTATTTTTATAACTGGGTCGAAACCGACCCTAACAACACAAAGGTCATAATTTCAACCAGAGCATTTTATAATTTAGCGAAAAAAAATGTTTTTGTTTTATTTTGTTGAAATATAGGTTCCTGACAAAGTCAAAAAGCCTTGATGCAATAAACAATTTTTTGTGGTTCTTTTAAGCATGTAAAACCTAAAATGGGTCGGTGTCGACCCTAACACAAGAGGAAGGTTAACCAAATCACAATATTTTCCTATACCTAACTAAGTAGTTGTATTGCCTAACCAAGTACACCTAAAACTACATAAACCTACGTTTGTAATTTCTTTTTGTTTATTTTTGAAAAAACGAAGCGAAAAAACCAACACGGCGTCCCTGATATGTCCAAAACGGATTGTAGAGGTTTACAAAGAGCATCAAAGTTTGAAGCGTCAGACCACTGACCAGGCGTCCGTAGGTATTTGACGAGGTGTAGGGAGAATATGTTGGATGAGACACCTCGTGTCTAGCAGCTCATCATTATTTTTAACACCTGAGGTCCAGCTGAAGTTGACTAATGCTTGTAAACAACTATTTATTTACAGAGATGATAAATAAAGTCACAAGGCTTAGTTAAGTGCAGCATGACTCAGCTTAATAAATGTTTTAAATGTTCTGGACAAATAAAAGCTAATGTGACTTACTGAACTTTGTTGATATATAGAAAGGACCCCTTGGAGGTTCGAGGGCTAAAGCAGGTCACTCAGCAGCAGGAGACCCTTTCACCGGTAACAGGATCCTCAGATCACCCTGCTGCTGATGACAGAAAACTGCAGGCCAGGAGGCTCTCAACCAGGCTTCACTACTATTTTTACAACAACCGCTCTGAGTCAATCAGCAAGGACCCACTCTGAGACTATTTTCATATCAACAGGTATTTATATATCTAAAAAGATATATTCAAATACTCAGATCACATTCGTTTTTTGTTTGGGTTGCTTACTGCCAGCAGCCATATCTGTCAGCCATAAAATCCCAATACAGTTGCAAATCAGGAGGATCTGCTGATTCTGGAAGTATTTACTATCAATGATATTTAACATTTGTGGTTTTCATTTTGTTTTATGACCAAATATCTGCAAAGATAATGACCTTCAGCCTGTACTTTGTGTAGTATTAATTAGCTAATGTCAGCATGCTCACATATTAAAATAAGATGAACATGGTCAATATCACACACTCATCATCACAATCACAGTACAATCATCACCCATTTCAAATGTTATCAGCTCACCTGCTAATACTTTGCATCAAAACTGTTCATACCAGCAGCAATACGAATTTGCGACAGTTGCGACACCTTTTTAATAAAAGATTTAAACAGATTTGCGCAGGCGGAGGACCAGGATCCTATAAGCCCAGGGCAGCATTTGTCAGTCTGTCTGAGGTAAATTAGTGTACAGTCTAAGCTACTGTAAGCTATTTGATTGAGCTTCCTTGTAGTGAAATGCTCTGAATGAATTTGCCTGTGGTAAACAGTTACACAGTGTCGCCTTATGTATAGCCTTAATGCTTCAGGCAGGCCACACTGCATCTACCACATTGTGAAAAAG